CAACTAAATATTGTACTAAGGTAAGTACCTTAGTTCGTGATATGATTTGATATCACTTATGTGAATTCGTTTCCCTCGGTGCGCCCGTATATTTGTGGGTTACAAATATTTAGGTGTAAGTTACCTTTTTTAGGGGTCGGTCACAAAATATTTACGCTTGTAACTTGTGGAGTTTTATGAAGCTCTTAGAATTTACTGTAACGTATTTTGTTTTTACGCAACATTTGTTTTGCATCTGATAGTCCTTATTCCTTAGAAAGGTTATTCTAGATCTAGAACTTCTTTCTGATATCATGACATAACAACTGGCCTTTTATCTCCAAAGGGGTAGGTAGAGGTGCACATTATAGCACTTAATACCACTGTACAATGTAACACTTTAAATATTTATGTTTTAATACCACTGTACAATGTAACACCTTAAATATTTATGTTTTGAGTCCCATGTAGGTAAGGGTGGGGTGAGCCTTTTTCAGATATATGGCACAATAGGGCACAATTTAGACTCCGTGCAACTACTGAGATTTTATTTAAACACCCAGTAATACTTTACCCGACCAGGGAATCGAACCCGAGACCTCTTGCCCAGCAGTCTCACTTGTGACCACTCGGCCAACGAGGCAGTCCTTACTCTTACCTGATATCATATTAGAATAAAAAAAGAAAGAGATTTAACACATATGTTTAATACCTATAACTTCACTTTTGGCTTTTGTTGATAACGTAAAACTTAAATCCCTACAATCTGCACACAATTTATATCCCCCAACAAACAATACAACTTTCCAAAACTGCATACAATTGAAAATCTTTCAATAAAACTTTTCAAGCCAACCAAACCAGTGCATCAAGTTTATCGATAAAATAAAGACAACTCTATCATAGTCTAAGAGTTACCTCCGAGACCTGTTGTTTATGGCATCGAGTTATAAACAACGAAGGATATGGATATTGAATTTTGTTTGAAAAGCAGAGCATTGTACATTCATACAACGTACGTTCTAATAAAAGTTTTGTAGGGGAATGAAATATTTTGTAAATATACGTAAGGTCGATAAAATTGGTTGGGCTCTGTACAGCGATTTTCTTGTGGACGTGACGTGAAGGTAAAAGTGGGACTAGTGTGAAGGTATTCAACGTTTATTTGAAAGTGGATTGTAAGTAAGTCCTGTCCTTGTGATGTTCGATATATTTTGTGGGAAACATTCTTTGTTAAGTCTTCGACAGGGATGATAACAGGGTATGAAAATTAAAAATCTAATTAGTCCGTCAGTTAGGTAATGACAAAATATAAGACACGTATTTTTTATTTTGTTCTATAAGGAAACAATACTTAGATAAAAAGAATCATAGTTAAGATAAGTATCTAACAATAAGTCCAATGAAATCTTTACACAAATGCGACGTACACATGCTGATAAAACGGACCTACGAAACTACAATAGGGTAGATGACTAATTTTATTGTCCGTCTGGTAGATTATTTTAAAATAATACAGACGTATTTTTTATTTCTTTACCGAAACGAATACTTTCGACGATATATTGTATTGAAATTTCGTGTGACGTCACTTATATATCCATTTTATACGTAGAAATGACGTTTTAACCCCCACTCCTAAACTTTGATTCGTTATAGATCATTTTATTATACACCAAATTTTTTCATTACCTAACTGACGGACTAATTAGATTTTTAATTTTCATACCCCGTCATCATCCCTATTCTGTCTTTACAAATTCTTTGAAGAATGACAGACATGGCAGATATTTAAGTACAACTTAAAATTGCCTTTCAGTATTTGGGCATTAGAGCTTTACTGAGAGTATACTTCGCTTACTTACTCTTCAAACAAATCTAAACGCAATATAGTGGTTAGTTTATTGAATCCGGCCAATCAGAGTGCCGAACGCGGTCTCTTTAAACTTACAACAATATCATACTAAACCCTAACTACGATTGATATGTAAATATACAGTACTTATTACACACGAATACAAGAGGATTTATTTTTGCGTGACCCATTTTACAACACCGCATCTGTTTATCATAATAGAGACCCGCGAATGGTTCTTACGAACAATTAAGAGGACAAAAACTTCCATACAACACAGACTGTAGGAGCCCGTTAAAGTTGTAAACATTGAGGCACTTATAAGAGGACTGTGGAAACGTGAGGTCGTCTTGGATATATTTGAAGTCGTTTTTAAAATGAAGTGTTGAGTTAATTCAGTATAGTGTTAAAAATTAGTGAGTCGCGGCGTTTGTGTAGTGAACAGGTATGTAAATGTAATTTGTAGTCATAGACTAAGATTTTCAACCTTTGTTTTTTCAGCGCAGTCAGCTTTAATTATTACTATTTCATATTTACTGAATGACTCATAACAATACCTTCCACTTTACCTGAATGCATACCAGTTCGAATAATATAAACAATTATTATAAGGGTGGATTTAATCCCATATCGCATTCTCTACCAATCAACCGTGAGATTAACAAGATTTGATCAGTCTAAGGTTCACTAGCAACAGTCACATGTTGTTATATATTTATAGATTTTAATATTATCATACATACCAATATACAACGCTTACAAATACTTTGTTAATTGACTGCACAGTTGGCGCGGTGGCTGGGCAGCCGGCTGCCGCGCAACGTGTAGCGGTTCGGTTCCCGCACGGAGCAACTCTTTGTGTGATCCACAAATTGTTGGTTCGGGTCTGGGTGTCATGTGTATGTGAACTTTTACTATAACTAGTGTGGGGCAACGTGTTTTACAAAAAAATACAATATGCAAAACTTTTATTTACATTAAATCATACTTTTGAAAAGTCAATTAAGTTCTTATGTACTTATTTGGCTAACCCAAAAATATGTTTTATTATTATAGGCTGATCCTACCGAGAGAAGCGAGCCACTGTTTGTCATGAAGGCAGCCGAAACAGACCCAGACATGGAAATGCCAAACGAAACTCCTACTCGTGAAATACCAGAGCCACTCACAAGTAAGTCTTTGTTCAAATCAATGCTAAATATTGATGTGTTTACATTATAACATAACATAACATCACGCCTTTTATCCCCGAAGGGGTAGGCAGCGGTGCACATTATGCCACTGTACAATGTAACACCCACTTTTCGCTATTTATGTTATGAGTCCCATGTAATAGGGGGTGAGCCTATTGCCATATACCGGGCACAATTCCAGACTCCGTGCTACTACTGAGAATTTTTTAAAACCCAGTAATACTTTGCCCGACCCGGGAATCGAACCTGAGACCCCTTGCCCGGCAGTCGCACTTGCGACCACTCGGCCAACAAGGCAGTCAGTGTTTACATTATCTATGTTTGTAATGTTTTCACACAAAAACTACTACACCAATTTCAAAAATTATTTCATTATTAGAGACCTATACATCTTGACATAACCATATAGAATAAAATGCTTAAATCATTAATCCACGCAGACGAAGTCGCGATGAACAGCTAATTTTTAATAAAAATAACAAACACAGCCTGGACTATGGGCGCCCTATACATAAAAATAGTTTTTCATAAGCAGTTCAAATGGTAAAAGTATATCAGAGAGTGCTGTTGTCCGGTCTCTGTTAAACATGCATTGCCTTGTTGGAATTAACGATACCCGCAGAAAGAGCGGTAGTGACAAACATTTCCCATTCTGCTGTCAGAACATAGTTATTCATACTTGTTAATGTTCAATAACTTTAAATAATCTCTTCCATCAAAGAAAAGAAAGAAAGAAAAATAATGTATATGGTACAACACCAGCATAAACACGATACACTCAAACATACATAAGACAAAATAATAAAAGGAACACAAAATAGATGTCGAATAATAAAGTTAAATACATTAACAATAATAGTCACACACACTTGACGCGAGTAAGCATTACACAAAACAAAAATGTGTAACATTCAAGTGTTTTGGGACTAATCACAAAAAAGAGATATTTATGTTACAACTTAAAAGTATTCATTTAATTTTTTGTTCAAGTATTTTACGTCACACCTAATAATTCTTTTTTTTATGCTTGATCGGCTGACTATTGGCCCCTATCTCGCTCACTGGTGGTAGGCGATAATGCGGCATGTCTGCACTTAAGCAATCTATTCACTCGGGCCTTGAAGACACCCGGGATTTACTCTGGCAAAGAACCACCCCTTAGGAGCATTCCTATCTCCGAAGGGGTAGGCAGAGATGCACAATACACATGTGTAACACTTATTTTATGAGTTGCTTGCTGGTTACATTTGACTGCACGGTTGGTGCGGTGGCTGGGCAACTGGCTGCCGCGCAACGTATAGCGAGTTCGATTTCTGCACGGAACAACTGTTTGTGTGATCCACAGATTATTGTTCCGGGTCTAGGTGTCATGTGTATGTGAACTTGTATGTTTGTAAACATACCCACGACACAGGACAAAGTCCTAGTGTAAGAAAGAAAAGAAAGAACATCGTGAGTCCCAGTAGTGGGTGATGAACCTATTGCCAGATACCAAGCAGAATTCCAAGTTCCACCCTTCCACTGAGACATTTTCGAGCGAGAAACTGAATAAGCCTAACCCCTACAATATTGTACCCGATGCCTTGCTTGGCAGTCGGGACCACTCGACCCATGAAGCAGGTTCAAGTATTTTAACATTCCTTTTTTTTTTCAGGACCTGAGCGACACACGCCTTTCGAGAATACTAGACCTCAACGACGCCGTCGAATTCGAAGCTCTATGGCTGTATTTATGGACCAGATATTGAGTATCGAGGAACGTAGGGTTGAAGCAGATTTGAATAAAGCACAATCGCTTGCCAATATTGTAATCGCTTTGACTCGCCTCGCTAATACAATTGAAAATGTAGCTACGATAATTCAAAATCGTTAAATGGTGGTAAATGTGCTAAACTATCATATTGGAAATGTTTTAATGTTCACAATTCTTATTTAGATTTAATTTTGTACTGTTCATTTGAACTCATAATTTTCTTATTTTAAATTTAATTTTGGTTTGTTCTTCTGTGTCATAGTCTATTGGTAATTAAGTAAAAAAGTTTAATAAAAACAATGTTTTAGTATTCAATATCATACATAATGTAATGAAGACCATCACATCGCGTATTGGTAAGATTCCCTTGGGGACATTAGATAGAAAAAGTATTGTATGGAGAATTCACTGTTATCAAACCATTGGGAATTTAAGTTAAAAGCAATCTAGCGCCATCTAGTAACAACAACCTTCAATATAGTGTTTCTTTTTTAATATGTTTATTTAATTACAGGGTTTTTTCTTAAAAGAAAACGACACCCCGATTATTTTTGTTATTTTTGTATTAAATATAGTGTTGTAGATCATAGTTACCTGCTGGGGCTGGGGACAACCTTCCGAGTTAACGAGGCTATGCTCGAAGTAGGAATAGACACGAAGAGGTTTTTATTCAGTAAGAATCTGACAGTCTCTCTCGCCTCACCTCTCAAGGGGGTGGAGTTATCAATCAATGACTTCTCCCCTGAGGCGAATGACCAAGGAAAAGTTTTTTTTAACATATTTATTCATTGCAATTTTACATAGGTATGGCCTTAAATAAACGCGCCAAACTTTGACTCATTAGTGATTAGATGACTCCCCCCTCCCCCCCAAAAAGGTTATAGTTCCATACCTTAATATGTGGCAGTGCTAGCAGTCGTCGTATCTCGTGTATGGCGGCGGCGGTGGCGGGCGTGGCGGCGGCGGGCGCGGGCCCGGCGTGCCGCAGCCGGGTGGCCGCCTCCAGCGCCTGCCGGCAGCGCGCGCGACCTTCTGCCGCCGGGGCGCGCCCGCTTGTTACTACTACCGTGCTTGCTATACGGTCGTAGATCTGGAGGAAAGACAATTACTCATTAAAACCTCATTTTAATATTTTTAACATTAGGTAGATCGTCCGAGCAAAACCACCACAGACGGGTTCATTGCCCTGCTAAAGATATAAATGATCTTTAAAAAGTTTCAATGCGAAACTCGGTAAGTATTATTATTGGATTTAGTAGGAAACTCTTTTTTACCTCCAGCAAAGCTCGAAGTTGCAAATCATCGAGAACGCTGAGAAATAGATCGACATCCATCAGCGTTGGACCATCTTGCAGCACTGCCACATCATCCAAAGACTCAACAATCAAATTAACAGCTGGAACAAATTAACAATAACAAATTATAATTATTATTAAAAAACTAAGAATTCCTAAAAAAATATGAGTATTACAACTAGCGCCATCTACTTAGCATAATAAGCAAAAAATGTTGGCAAATAGTATCACTGAATGGCGCTGTCGTTGCAGTAAATATATATTCAGCGCCATCTCGCGGTTATTTCTTGTAAATATTGTTTCAGGTAGAACTGCTGAAGGCTTGGTGGTGTTTGGAAATGAAGCCCTCTTTTAGCGCTTGAAATACAATTTAATAAACGGTAGATGGCGCTGAGAGCATAATAAGAACCGTAATTTCAAACTATTCAAGTTTCTGGCGTGTTTGTTACAGAAAATTATAAACCTTACCGCATTCCAATAAAATGAAAAATGCATTCAAGGATTTGGACCGAATGTAGTACAAACTACAACAAATCTGTTTTGGAGGCTGTACTAAAGACCTAAAACTTCATTTATATACCTGCAGCATTAGCCTCTTCAAGCATGACAGCGCGGCGCGCAGGTTGTTCCTCATCCTCTTCATCATCAGCCGCGGCGGCCGCCAGTGTAGCCGCGCGAAGTCGACGTCGGCTGTTGAACTTCTTCAGTTCTTCCACTGTACCAGCCAAGTGGATTCGGTTTTGGTGTTCACGATCCTGGATTATGTTTACGAGTTATATTTTGAAAATATATGTTTTTTATTATTTTATTTATTTATTAACGCTTTATGCACAAAATGTACACAAGGTGGATTTAATGCCGCAGGCATTTTCTCCTAGTCTGACCTTTGGGTGATGCAGTAAATGGTAGGAGCAAGAAGCAAGCAACGATTTAATGGAGCAAATAGAATTATTGAATTCAACACAACAAAGTAACAAAATTGCTCTCGTAGTCATATGTCCTGTAGTTAAAATATTCGAAACAAGTTAACTGCAAAATAAAACTAAAAAAAATCAGACGCACCTTTATCCAGCGATGATTGAGGACTTCTTGTATGTTTATTCTCTGAGTATGATCGATGTTTAACATACGCCGCACTAGATCTTTAGCGGCGTCACTGATATCATCCCATAGAGGTGTGTCCAACTGTAAGCAATGTAAGTAATTAAACATCTATATATTTTTTGACTGCAGAAAATTAGAATAGTTTAAGGAATTCGATAATAGATGGCGTTACTAATACTTCTTATATCTTTACATTGAACTTATTATTGACAAACTGCTGATTATAGTTATTTGCTGATAATAATGCACTTGGAAATTTTACCCTCAATCGTCCACGGCAAATGGATTCAAACAGTCGCTCTCTTGTCCCAGTAAAGGGTAAATAGCCGACCAGTAGAACATGTAGCAATATACCAGCAGCCCATACATCGACTGGCTTGCCGTAAAGCTGGGTGGAAACGACCTCGGGAGCCATGTAATGGGGTGTTCCAATGCGTCCTGAAAATGAACATTATTTAGTAGGCCTCAAAATACAGTTTAGTTTGTAAAACCTGGTGGTACCTTTATGATTACCATTGAGGCAAGTACTTATACATCAATTTAGATTTCTTTGTAAATCTTTTAAGAAATGGTACCAACAGATTTTAAGTGTTATAATACAATGAAAGGCACATTGTTAAGGTGACAATATCAGTGATAAAATAACGAAAGGTTTAAATCAAATATTGTATTTTTTTAAGTTAACTTGCAACTGCGGAATTTGATGAGATACAGGACGTGTGTGTTTGACACTAAATTCAAATGGATTAGATAAAAATAAGAAAAGGAAATTAGGTAACGGTGATTGTAACGAATAAAGAAAAATACGAGGGTATTTGCTGTTACGCTCAAGAGATGGCGCTAGTGAGCTGTAATGAAGGGCATCGCAGCAGCAAGTTTTTACCATAGGCAAATTATAAAAATATTAAGATACACTCAACGTAAACCAACACCATTGAATATGAGTCAATATTGCAAAATACTATTTGTTTAAAAACAAATTAGGTTCATTTTCGACCAGTGAAAAGTGCTTTAATAAATTTCATATTACAGGATTTGGTGCACAAATATTGAATAGCGTGATTGACTGTGTTTTTATATTTATCAACATTTTATTGATTGATTTATAAAATAAGACACAATTATAATTTTTACACATATTTAATACATTAAATTTTTTCATCAATAACTACTTCAAAGCTCGTGTGAAGCAAGGGACATAATACTGGTTTGTGACGTCATTTGTCACGTTGTCACACTACCACAAACTACGTGAGTGGTATTGAACGATGACGTCATAATTTCGGAACATATTCTATAGTTCAATTAGTTGTTTAGGTACAATAACTAGAATAGGGAACGATGATTGTATGTGTTATGAACATAGGGTGCCAACGTAAACTGTTAATACTGTGATCGGAAGCGACATGTCTGTCGTACAAGACACATGGTGATATCGCTGAATTAGAAGGCGAGGCAGGACAGAACAATGCGCGATAAACTTGGCAAATAAAACTATAGAAATAGTACCGGTAAATCATTCAATTAGGGTAAATGACTAAATACTTTTCATGTTATATTGATTTGAGATAGCGCGTGACGTCACTTTTGTGTACGTTTTATACTCAGAAATGACGTAGCTACCTCCTAATTTGTTTTTATCAAGTATTGTTTTCTTATGCGACAAAATATAAAAATACGTGTCTAATATTTTATCATTACTTAACTGACGGACTAATTAGATTTTTAATTTTCGTACCCTATCATCATCCCTATTACTACCAATTAATGGATTTACTTTATGAATCAGATGTATACCAATATTAAGCCTAGAATAGTTTTTCATTACATTTTCCCAGTGCCTAAATTGTATTAAAGAGAACAAAGAAAAAATGCGCATTCTATACGTAGATTCCCATTTTATAATGAAGTAATAAATAAGGAAATAAATGTCAATAATTAATATGTTTAAATTACGTTACAACATCCAAGATAGTTCACGTTTCTAAGATGCAAAGCGAACCAACAAAACTATGTAACTAGATAATTGTATTGTAAAATTTGAAAAAGAGTACCTAACCTACGGAGTTTCTCGCTCGTTCTTCACCATGGGAATCTACACCTTGGAATGAGCAAATAGCTTCACGTTTAATTTTTTTTTTTTTTTTGTTGACGTTCGAAAGTGCCTTCCTGGTATTATTTTGAGTTTGATTTAGAAAGGCCTTATTGTTGCTGTGATTTTTGGTTGATTACTACTACAGATTCACTCACAGGACTTGCAGATATTTTTTTATGTTTTTTTTTATCAAGGACATCAAACAGCAGTATATTAAATATAACACGAATGAATAAAATAATAGATTTAATAAATATACTTTGAGAAGTATATTTATAGAAATCTGTGGCACTTAACTTACTTAATTTACAGATTACTAGAAATCGACTTAGCAATAACAATGTCAATAATAATATTAGATTCCATGAGAATACTAATAACACTGTGAATAAATAGTTTTTAACTACGATAAAAAACTCTCTTATATCTTTTAACTAACAGATGAGGTTATCACGCATTGTTCCACCCAACCAAATTCCTCTAACGCGTGGCAATACAGACACGGTGCTGGTGGCAATCGCACATGTCCATGCAGTTAGGGCACAATGTCCACGTCTTACCGTACTCGTCTGATTTGAGATACGCTTGGCCCATCGGACCCATTAGCGGGCGAGTGTCCATCACCAGTTCTGTATAATACAACCTACTGTCATCAACTTTGTTTAGACTTTAGAGTGTATTTTGTATCATGACCTAAACCCATTTGTTCCCACAGTTAAAGTATTATACAAACATAACATCACGCCCTTTATCCCCGAATGGGTAGGCACATTATACCACTGTACAATGTAACTCCAACTTTTCACTATTTATGTTATGAGTTCCATGTAATAGGGGGTGAGCCTGTTGCCATACACCGAGCACAATTCCAGACTCCGTGCTACTACTGAGATTTTTTTTTAAACTCAGTAATATTTTGCCCGACCCGGGAATCGAACCCAAGACCCCTTGCCCGGCAGTCGCACTTGCGACGACTCGGCCAACGAGGCAGTCTTAAAGTATTATAATCAAGACTATTTATAATGGATAGTGTGTAAAGATGTATTGGTTCGTAGAGTTAAACTGTTATAACTGTTTTATGCAGCTTACAAAATAAGCTAAACTTTGAATAATGATCACAATAAAGACGACCTTGAGGCTTGACCAACATAAACCAGAAGGTATGTTACGAATCCCATATGAAAGTGGGGATTACCTATCTAATCTACTGAATTTTGACATTGATAGCTGAATTCCAGATATTTTGTGTTGTTGGGTTGATGTTGATGAAGTACTGACAAAAATAATCTGCCCAATCCGGGAATCTAACCCAAGATGCTTTTCATTTACTTTTAGACCCTTGAAGTGGTAGTTTTGGACCCTTGGAGTGGCACTTTTGGACCTATGAAGACTTTTGACCACTCAAGCAACGCAGTGACTTTGTAGTAAACTATTTATCTAATATACGTATGTAATACATAATTGACTTATATGATGTGTAATATGATCAGTGGTTTAATATTACCTGTATTGTATGCTTCAGTGCTTATTCAAAGGTGAGACTAGGGTCAGACAGATGGGATCTTAGACTATGTATACCGATGCTAGGTTTTATCTAGACCTACCTACATAAAGGCACAGTATCTGTATAAGTGAAAATGTGAGCCAGTTGGATGAAATATTTTACGTGCTTATAAGTAGTAAAGTTTTAGATACTTAACCATTATTTATATACTACTACTCAGAAACTAGCCACTTTTGACCTAGGGATCTCAGGGCTATTTTTGTAGGAAATTAATTATATTATCACCTCCCGAGTGGAATACGTCGAGTTACAAGTCACCCTGTGTACGATTTACAAACATAACACTCACAACAAAGGTGTGACCTTTTATCCTCAAAGGAAGAAGTGCACATTATGCCATTGTACAATGTAACACCCACTTATCACTATTTATGTTATGAGTCCCATGTAATAGGAGGTGAAGCTATTGCCATATACCGGGCACTATTCCAGACACCGTGCTACTATTGAGATTTAAAAAAAAATTGTAGTACTATGCCCGACCCGGGAATCAAACACGAGACCCCTTGCCCGGCAGTCGCACTTGCGTCCACTCGGTCAACGAGGCAGTCGAGTACGAGTTACTCTCGACATATTACAAAATCGCGTAAAATGCACGCGTTGTCATTTCTAGTATAGTGATTATATTGTTAGTATTAATTCATTATTAATACGACTTCAGTTCGCTTTCGGTCATCAAGGGCACTGCGCGTTCTCACATTTCATACATCATTAGTTTATCTAATTTTGAGACAATACAGTGAAATTTAATTATATCAAGTCTTTTATTTAAATATCAAATATTAGGATAGCATATTTTAAAGACCAATAGGTACTAATATCTTTGTTCCCACAAAAATCTAATAGATTATGCACTGATCACATTACAGAGCAGAAAAAAATATTTGTATACCTATTTATTTATCCTAAGTAAGGATCACAACAGATAATAATTACATGTCTATCAAGCCTATCAAACAGTACCAACCAAGGAGTGCCGTAAACAATTATTATTCTTCAATATTCAAGTACCTACCTACCTAACTATATTCATTAGACTACATTTAAGACATGCATAATAGCACTATAAGTACTAGTATAGATTGTTTGACCAAAATACCAATAAGTTTCTAGTTGCTTACCCAAGAAAAAAAGTAAGAGAATCTTAACATAACATAACATCAAGCCGGTCAACATCTTTTATCCCCGAAGGGGTAGGCAGAGGCGCACATTATGCCAGTGTACAATGTAACACCCACTTTTCACTATTCATGTTACGAGTCCCATGTAATAGGGGGTGAGCCTATTGCCATATACCGGGCACAATTCCAGACTCCGTGCTACCACTGAGAATTTTTTGAAAACCCAGTAATACTTTGCCCGACCCGGGTATTGAACCCGAGACCCCTTGCCTGGCAGTCGCACTTGCGACCACTCGGCAAATGAGGCAGTCTTAAAGAGAATCTTGTTGAATGAAATGGGTATTAATGGGAAAATCATACCAATAACAACTACACTAAAGTCGAAAATTGCCAAACAAGACTAATTAATGAAGAAAAAATTCAAATAACAACTACCAATTTGATCAGATTACATGATGGAATTGCAACCGAGAGAAAATCCGTACCAGTTCATACAAAATTAAACTCTAACGCAGTCTTCATATAGCACAAAATTAAACGAATTAAACCACAAACATCATACCAGGTTGAACCCGATTAGCAGTTGGAGTAGGTAGCTGAGCAGCTACACCGAACCCTCCAAGTTTGACGGGAGCACAGTTATCACGCCCGGCGAGTAGCACACAGTGAGGTCTGACGTCACGATGCACGATGTCATTCTCATGGCAGTAGCGCAGAGCTTCCAAGATCTGTCGCATGTAGTGACTGGAAGAAGAAATATGTAATTAGATTTAATGTAGTGCATAATGAGCTAAGATAAATCTAAGTGTGGGAGAGCCATGCTTTGGCACGAATGGGCCGGCTCGACAGGAGTGATACCACGGCCTTACAGAAAACCGACATGAAGCAACGCTTGCGTTGTGTTTCGTCGTGTGAGTGAAGTTACCGGAGGCCCAATTACCCTCCCCTTCCCCAATCTCTGAATTCCCAACGATCCTCAAGCTCCTAATCACCAAAAGACCGGTAACGCACTTGTAACGCCTCCGGTGTTCCAGGTGTCCATGGGCGACGCCGATTGCTTACCATCAGGTGATCCGTCTGCTCGTTTACCGGCTTATGTCATACGTTGTTTTGGTGTTTTTGTAGAAGAATGCAGTAATGTTGTCTGTGTTGGGTAGAAACTTAATCGTACCAACTGACATTTAAAAAACCTGAAAAGGTTGAATGTAAAATTTTAACAAGCATTTTAAAAAAGAAAACAAGCGTTCTGGTAATTAAATACTTCTATTGAATGTAAGATGGATAGCTTGACCTCTGTATACTCACCAAGCAACAGCTTCGCTGTAGACAAATCCAGCGGTAGCTCTGCGCACAACTTCAAAGCAGAGATCCGAACCATCCATACTGGAAACAAAACACAATTGTTTTAATTGACACTAACATAACATAATTTTATGGAAATTAATCCTTCCTTACTAATATTATAGAAAGTGAGTTTGTTTGTTTGTTTGTTTGTTCCAACTTCACGCCGTAACTTCTCAACCGATTGCTTTGAGTTTTTGAAGACGTAAAGTTAGAAGTCCGGATTAAATAATAGGGTAGTTTTTAACCCGGAAAAAAATTATATTCCCGAGGAAAAACAAAAGTATTGGTATAGATGGCGCTGTGTGTATTGGTATATGTCAATTAGGCTACTTTTTATTCTTTTGTGACGCGAGCGAAGCCGCGGGTAAAAGTTAGTTTATTTATCACCATAACTTACTATTCAAACACCATGTAGAGCATTCCCTCGGAGCTGTATGTCTCCAGCAGCTCCACAATATGCGGATGCTTCAACATATGACATATTGTTGCCTCTCGCTTCAAATCTGAAAAGTACAGTACAATATTTTTAAATAACAATCAACTTCATTGTAATCATAAACAACTCCTCCAACTCCAACATTAAGTCTGTATTCTTATCATTTTAGTATTAAAATTGTTTTAATTTAAACACTATGCAAAAAACAAAACATTGGTATAGGTAGCTCAGTATTTTAATCGATTAAGTTTGGTTGCGTTAAGATTTATTTATTTATTTATTTATTTCCACTTACATTTATCTTTAAGATACCCAACAATGCCTCTTAGAATGCTACCCAATAAGATGTTACTATCAACTAGATAATACCCACGTTGATATTTTTCTATATTTTAGGATAGTAGTAGTAGTTATGAATAGTAATTCAATATGCTGATAAACCATTAGTTATAATATTAAAATAAAGAAATCTTACCAGCAGTGCTGAGACCTGGGCTAGCGGTGAAGCGAGCCACATCAACAATCTTCACAGCAAACTGCTGGCTTGTTTGTCGATGGACACAGCGACGGACCAGACTGAATGGTCCCCTAGAAACAGAATTGATTTGCTTGTACTATTTGAGAAAAAAAAAACCTATAATGTATTACAGGTATTGAAATTGCTAAAGGTTTAACTTTAAACACTATAAAAGTAAAAAAAGGAGTTTGACCTGTATGTATAATATATGTATGTATGTTTGTGCGAGATTAGTTATCTCACACTTGGCTAACCTGATTTTGATGTGATTTTCTGAAGAGTGTTTGTTACACTTTGCAGGTTTTAGTATACTAATTAACCCACTTCAAAAAAAGGGTTTATAGCCGATTTTTCAACGTAAATTATATAGAATTATAGTTGTTTAACTTTAATTTGAAAACAAGAGCTATTAAGGAGTTTATAAAATATCCAAGTACCTAATTTTTTTCTTTCTTATAACCTAGATCTGTAGACTATGAAGAATACACTATAAAGTTACCGCTAACTACTCTAATAATGATTTTATTTTACCATGGCCTCAAATAATAACAATGTTAATAACAGCTGATTGTTCAACTTGACAAATAAAAAAATAATTCTAATTAGTTATTTCAAAAACTGATTTCGTTTTTCTATAGGTATACAAATTAAAGTCAGCCTATAAAATGAAGAATAATTTATATTATGATTGATTGTTTCTATTTGTGTATAAGAATTTTTATCATTCTCAATAGAAAAATACACATTCCCGTACTTGAGAACAACAGATAAATAAAACATTTATAATGAAAAGTTAAAAATTCGTCATTACCATAATAAACAAAATGATTAGACATTACATGTTTAGATTCTAATGCATTTAAAATAATCTATTTGTATTTATTTACCTACACATAGGTTTTATTTAAATCCAGTAGTAGCACAGAGTCCACAATTGTACCTGGTATATGGCAATAGGCTCACCCCTTATTACATGGAACTCATAACATAAATAATGAAAAGTATGTGTTACATTTCACAGTGGAATTATAAGCCATAATGTGCACCTGCCTACCCCTTCGGGGATAAAAGGTGTAATGTTATGTATTAATTTACGCCTATGTACTAGAGTAGTAACTTGTCTATAAAGCAATGTTGTTCTTTAGTCTGACAAAGTCTCATGGAACACAATAAATTCAATTTGACTCTAAATTCAAATGTGAAATAGTGAAATTAAAACACTAACAATATGTAACAGTTATTTCATACCACTTTCCAGTCATTATCAATAGTTATAAATTATGTATGAGTTGTCAAGTATGAATTTAGTCCAATTTACAATTTGATTGGTGAACTGAATATTAATGGCAAAAGTAAACTGTAATTCGACTGACATGTAGATATTTTAAACAAATATTTTGCTATTAGAAAATTATTGTATTTGAAAAATTGTGTATGCATTTAATTAATACTCCTAACTGAGAATCCACCTATTTTGATTTTGGTCAAAAAGGGGTTATATTATCACGTAAATACACATAATTTTTATAATAGACAATTTGGTAGGTACCCACAAGTTATGTTTTCCAATTAAATAACAGTTTAATATGATTACAATAATATTGACTGAACTATCACATACTAAACTATCATAGAACTGTCTGGTGACCCCTAATAGATTAAATTGTTATGATCTAAATATCATATCCACCTACCTACATAATATTCTTATTAGAAATACATTTAGAAACAATATATTACAGACAAGCTTTACATTAACTCATCGAGTAGGTACTGTATCAATAGACACAATTAAAGAAAGACCGCTCGGTGTTTGACAGTTTAATAAAGGTTAAAGCGTACCTTGCCTATTTAAAAAGAATAATAAAATTGTAATAAAAACGAGATTGATGGTTTATTACTGCTTAAGCTCATTCATAAATTCTGTATTGTTTATACCTGTCTCACATTAATTGTTATCTAAGCAAACACTTCAACATTATTGCAATGTAAACATAGGAATATTCCAAAACATAATTCATTTTGAAGCAGTTTTGTGGCAGAAAAATATAATTTAGTATAATTCTAATAACATTAATTTCTAATTGGAATAATCCTATTTGTATCGTAAATTAATAAATTCTGTTTTTAATAATTTGGATATAAGTTTTCTAAATTCAAAATGTATGGAACCAAGTAATTCTTATTTTAAAAACTCAAAACGAATTTCGTCCTAAATAATTTCTTCCTATTACCTATTAAAAAAATAAGTTCACATTTACATAGAAAACATGAAAACGAAGGAAGTTTTTACTACAATGTTTATAAATGTAGCTACACGTTTGTAGTTTTACGCAGGGTGTAAAATAACCAATAGGTATTACGAGGGAGGGCGAATGCACGTCGCACGTTATTTTATCACGAAATAATTTGCAATATTTACTTACTTGCCAATGATCTCACACAATTCGTACACATCGTCGAAAAGCACTTCGTCCTCAGCCATTTTTTACACAAACACTGTTCGCTATGTTTCAGAAAATATTAATAAATATCATTTTAAACACAGCCTGCGATCGGCCTGAGCAGTGGTTACGCCCTGGCAATATTCGCACCTTTAAAGAGAGCACTCAATTTTTAAATGAACACTAAATGATATTTCAGTAGGAAGTCTTGAACTTGAAAATGTAGAAGGATATAACTTTCCCAAGAAGAAAAATGTTTTTCACACAGTAAAATGATCTCATTCGCGAAATTTTCCAATAAGATTTGTATACGACACTAATAAATAACACTTACAATGTGAAAATAGTAAATAGTAACACAATAGGTGCAGGTAGGTAAATATTAGCAAAACGTGTAATTAGTGTTTTAAATTTTAATTATTTCACAAAATACTCTTTTTATTTACTTTTGACATTCTGAGGGTTGCAAATGTCCTGAATGAAGTTAGCAACGGAGTAAGCGCGAATACGCAGTTGCCAGCTAAGAAAAAATTAAAACTACTATTTTAATTTTCATCACTTCCATTTTGACACATTTTTTGTGATTATTTTGTATAGTGATAACAATACCCTACACCAGGATTTCCTTTTTTGCAATGGTAGTTAAACGATATCTACACGGCAAACAAAACAATTTATTGTTCACATAAAGTTATTATTGGGGCGGTAACGACTCCCATAAAAAGATTTTTCTAGTCACGATCGTCCTATTCTCTTTCCAGTTTTATCTGGGTAACGCCTTTTGAGACCAATCATTGTTAGAAAATGTCTAGTTCGTCCTGCCATCTCTTTTTAAGGCTTGCAACTACGTCCCTTGAGGTTGAACAGGTTCCTTTCAGGACTGAGTTTTATGCTTAGTTATGAATTTAATTAGTATGTTCATAATGATGTGATAGATCTCGGTAACTCGAATATAGATGAATGGGTGATATCGTCGAAGCTTGAAAGCTTTGGAACAATCCGAAATGCTATAAACTGGATAAACCGGACAGTTTAAAAGTTTGGTATGTATGATACTTGGCTTGGCTGTCCCTAGATTACACATGGCGATGCTATATCCAAGATCAGTTCCCACCAGGATTAACTCATGATAGTTTTATCTTGCAGTTTGATGATCATAATTTTGCGAACTATATAAATAGTTCGCAAAGTAAAAGCCGTTGTCCGTTGAACAAATAGTACAGCTGTATGAATAGTGATTTGGGATCTCTTTCAAATAACGAAGTATTTCGGAGGTAATAGTAGTTTTATTAATTAAAATAGTCTCACATTTAATAAATAAAGTGTTTATAATTTTCATAAGAATAATTTTCAATTTATTTTTTCACTAACAACTTCTTTCGTACAAAGTATGTGAACTTTTCATGTCACTTTTTAGTTTACTAAGAACTTAATAGCTAAAGACTATTCTTTACAATGTCATAATAATTATTAACATAATAATTCAACTAGCATTTGAATACAAAAATACATGACAAGCTGTTATTTATCTAGAAGTTGACATATAAAAAACGTGTAAGTGACCGAAATTTAACATGAAATATGTAAGAAATTGACAGTCAAGATTATACTCATCATATATTTAAATTATATTGATACAAATTAATTATGTTCGTCACAGTTCACTACTGTGGTATTACCGACTCTTCTTTTAAAATATTCACACCCAGGAACAGTCACAGTAAGTTCCGAATCTGGCGATTTGAGACGTGGCGTTGAATTGACATTTACCTTATAAATACACCGGTAGTTCAACTCATATAGTTCAAAGGTCGTATCCTGTAAAAGAAAATGAAAATGTATTATTAACATAAACTATATTTTAATATTTTACTAAAAAAAACATTTCCTACCAAAATAGTAGTTAATGGCCTTGCATGGCAATATAAAATTTTACCGCACTTTTAACTCGGTTCTAACTTCATGCTATTCCCGAAAATTTAGAAAATTACGCAGATAATATTTTTTTACTATTACTATAATTATATAGGCATTTACCTCAGTAATGGCAGTTAACCCTTCTCTGCGTATCTTTTTGGGATTGTGGCACTTAATGGCTTTCCAATGAACGTAATACCTGCAACATAAGCAAGAAAATTAGATTTACATACCTACCTATACAAAACCAGGTACCTTCATAATTTTTTTTTTTACTTATACCTATAAAATATAAATAATATGTGGTATATACATAGACTGGTACTGTCAAGAACAGGGTGCTTACTCTTGAAACCAATCTCAATGTCAATGCAATTTCAATCCAATAAAATTCAATGTTAATAACTATTCAATGTTAAAACTATACAACCCCTTTCGTAGCTGTTAAAATAGCATTCAGAGTACGGAATATAAAGCCAAACTCAATATCATTTAGTTCATTTAATATCCATGTAATTCGGATGCAATGGGCGTTAATGTTACAACTCAAGAGTACGAAATTTCACAATACCAATGTCGACAGATCGGAATTGAATTCAAGAGTAAGCACCCAGGTCTTATTAGATTTAAATACCAATTAGATACCTACCTAATCTTACCTACAAGTACCTAGGTGCTTAGTAAGTAGGTAGGTATCTATCTTCCTGGGTTAGTAGTACTTCCTGGGATACCGATGAACCTAAGTTATTGGTAATTATTACATTTGGAAGATAAGGAGTTTATTGTCAAAACGCATTTGAAAAGTTAAGTTTTAGGTAAATCGCGTTCAGACGGCGTTTACGCTCTGGCTCGACGCGCAGGAGAAGGAACGGGGTGGTTTTTAGTCAGTAAGAGTCTGACACTCCCTCCAGCCTCACCCAGGCGGGAGTAGCCATTCGATGATTTTTTGATGATTAACATAACTTAATAGGTACCTAGGTACATGTCTATAATGTAATGTTACGAAGGTATAATTATGTTTCATTAGCTTACTACCCATCTACATCTACCTACATAAGGAAAAATAAGCAAATAAAATATGTGAATAATGCATCGTCCATCATCAAGTTAGATAGGTACCTATTATGCATTTTATTTGTTGGAAATATTACCTTCCGGGTTGCTCGTAAACACTAGGGAGAGGCTGCCAGGCGATTCTAGCCTTTATTTTTCCATTGTACCATACAATTTTTTGTAAGCTGAGACCTCTTATCTTTTTACTGTCACGTTTTTGAAGCGGTTCTGGAGGTGACTCTGAAAGAAAATCAAAATTATCAAGTTATTGTTTATCTGTTAAAATTCCGTTTCGTTCCAGACATGTCACAAATAAATAATATTAAATCGTTCTTCGCTTGGTTTGAACTTTGAATACCTACTCATAAGTACGGCTGTTAATTTTCTTTCATTTCCTTATTTCTATACTACCTGCCATTCAGAAGTAAATAATTAAACGGAAATGATTTTTACAATTAGATTGTCTTGTTATTATATATTTTTATAGATCCCGGATTCCAGGACGCCATCGTCAACTGGTACCAAAATCTAGTTAATGAAAATAATTCTGATGATTTATTTCAATTGTATTGTATTAGTTTGTACTCAGTAGGTATGTTCTTAATTCTCTAGCAAGGAAAGCTTTTTACGTCAGTGGAGTTTGGTACTTCGATCTGCTTTATCCGTCCCAATTTGTAATTCAACGACGGAATGTCTAGCTAAATTATTTAGATGCTTCGCCCGTAGAGCACTTCGTTACCCACTAGAGGTACAACCGTTGGAACGATAGAACTAGGTCGTTTCTGACACAATTCATGAATCACGATTAAATTTTTAATATTTTTACCGGAGGCAATTTTTCGTAACTGGCTCGTTCAGGCTAGATGGTGGTTGTGTGGCTTTATTTTGGAAAAAGTTTTACTCAACAAAATTTGGTACCTATATAAAGTTCAGCAGCGGGTCTTTTTAAGAATGAAGTGTATAAGTTAGTTTATGTTATAGGCAGACCGAACGGTATACGATTTGCTTAATCTGGCATGCGTTTGGGCACGAAAGTTTATGAAGCCAGCACCCGAATGACTATGAATGATATCGTGTAGGTTTGTTCGATTGCATGAAGTTCCTTAACTAACAAGACTATCGCCAAATTTCATAAAAATTAAACAAAATTAAATAGTTACCAAAGCGACCCGTTGAAGTAGTGTTGTAGAATATTGACGCTTTGTCACTGCGAAGTTTACCAAGACCAAACTGACTGATCGTTTGCACTTGTAAGAAGTACATCGAATTTGGCTGCAAATCCTTGATTTCAATGTAATTTTGGTCCTGAAAATAAGAGAGATTTTATTTTAACAACTTCTTTTTGTGTGTTTGTCCGTGTGCATTGTTGTCTGCATGTGTGTCGTGGTATAGTAAACGGTTTTTCTTTCTTTCTTTCTTCTATTTTTAAATTAAAATGTATTTTTAGGTCTTCTCGAACAAAATCTCGTTTTTACCGTCAAGTTGTCACCCTTCTTCAAAATACCGCCTGTTCAAATGTTTAGGTAAACAAGCAAGTAAGTAGCAAAATAAGCTTTTGGCAATGATTTAAAATTTATTTTACCTTGGGCACCGTTTGATGGTTGACCAGCACTGAGTCTAGTTCTCCTCCCAAGCCTTTAACACGTCTACTCCAGAAGACCTTGTATCGCAGCACTGGCAGGTCTGAGTGTGGCTCCTTCCATTCCAATCTCACAGTGACAGTGCCTAAAACAAACAAAAAAACCCAATTATTTTAAGTATTAAGTTCTATTACTTACTACTTAGAATTCCGATAGTAATCAACTTAGCTTGACTTAAAAATTTGCCTCATAATAAATTCCAACTTCCCCAGTTAACACCATTTTATGAGCGACGCAGTCTTGTTCTTGATTATATTATGTATTCAGTCATAGGTACATAATTATGTGCTTTTGTCTCCCTCAGCGTGTCATGTCGGTCAAATTGATTCCAAATTTAGGATATCCTCACGTCATCGTGTTCGCTTTAACGGTCTATTAAGTGTCCATTTTTGCGAAAGGAGTCATTTAAAAATGGTAGCATGAAGTAAAAATATCTTAATTTCTATAGTAATTTTTACTCTCAAGTTATTCTTTCTATAAGTATTCATATTATACAATTATACTATGTTAAACATAATATTCTTCGTAATATTCTCTAGTTAGTCTATCTCTCTAAATATTATCACATTTTACCATAAGTTAGACCCAGGCGACTAAATGCGACTCCAGCGCCATTCCTCACAAAATGGATTTAACAAAACTTTCACTTACCATTATTCTCTCTTACAGGACGCACTTTCAGCTTCTTCGGGGATGGAGGTGGGCGTGGTCCTCGTCGAGGTGTGAACGGAGAACTGGGAGCTGAAAATCCTCTCGTGCCTTCAGAACTTACGGCTGCCACTCGGAACCGGTACCAACGACCCGGTTTCAGGGCATTTCGTAAAGATACCTTGGTTCTGCAGAAAAATGTTTGAAGGTAAGTTTTTATTTTTAAACGACTTAAAATCTATATTTTTCGACTTTCGTTGCTTACTGACTATGGATTTGAGCCTCTTGTATACTACTACTGCAGTGCAACAGACTTATTTACAAGTAATTTTAGGTACCTAATGTGTAATTATTTCAGTAAGGTAACTTTAATTATGAGACCGTTATATCACTTCGATAAAACCTTCTCATTCGTGCCGAAATATGACTCTTCTACGAGTAAATCATTGTTAACACTTAAACCTATCTTTCATCTATTCAGACTGTTACTGTTAACAAAATAATGTAGCTATATCCAAACTTCGACCCAAATGTACCCAAGCCCATACCATTGTCCTACACAAACGTTTATATTAAAACTTTAACATCAGTAAAGCGAGCAACGAGTAGAATAATGTTATCATAACATTACAAAGACAAAGCTTCTTGATTAAATAATAAAAACTAAAAGGAAAGTCTAGGAAAACATTTTTCTTTATTTAACTCTCTTTCTGTATTGTTTAAGAAGTTCCTGGTTTCCTACTATATATGTACATCATTTTTTTTATTAGTAGTAAAATCACTGACAATGCTGTTAGGGTATGTTTGTACCTAACTATTCTTTTCGTGAGAACGTTAATCGATTGTAAAGTAATAGACGATTTCACTTTAATACTAGGTATTAAATTATGAAAATTGATACACTTACTGCGGTTTTATTTATACGAACTTGTTTTAATTATTGGGTAATTAGGTACTCAGAAAGTTGTAGTTAATATTTTTAACATAACTGCACGATTGTTTTAAATTTAGTAGACTTTTTCGTGTGGAGCTATGTATAAACGCTCGTATCTCAAAATTAAGTTCTCCAACTTCATTATTTTATAATAGGGTTTAAAATTTATTGAGGAGTAGGTATGAATGAGATGTATTGAAGTGTCCTTTCATTCGTTATTTTATTTGTTCTTTTCGTACAATAAAGTGATATCGTAAATACCAGTCCAGGAATTTGACAGACACTATCCTACCCTACAGACTCCAGTTATTAATTTGGTTACCACAAACTCGTCAATGAGTAAGCAACTACTTGAGATCAACAGACAGAAATGAGGCAGTAAATATTTATGCAGATATAGGCAGTGATTTAAACCACTTCACAGTTCAAAAATTACTATAATTGGAACAATAACAACCAGATCAAGAGCTACATAAAATTTTATTGCAATGTTGCTCTTATTTATAAAACCGTTGAGTTTATTTTAAGGAATTGTCTGTAACTAACAAGTATGAAGTAGGTAGTAAATGGTAAGATAGAGGTTTAAAATTAAGAAACCCTGGACTGGTAGATGTGTGTGTGTGTGTTGGATAATGTAGTAAAGTATGGTAGTCGCTCCATCGATGTATATACATTTTTGATGTTCAGCCTTCTTCAATCCATTCTGGTTAAGGTTCAGTGTTGACTTAGTGATAAGTCCAATCATAAAGAAAAAAAGTCAGGACTGCCGGAAGAAACAATGAAAATTAAGTTATAAACGCACATAATAATATTGAACGTGTACTTTTGGCAATAAATCACCATGCGTGTTCAGTCAGGTCACACTCGTTACGTGATTGTTATATTTTTATTAAGTAAGTTACCTAGGCTAAGTGCTATAAACTAGATTTTGTTCATACATAATAGAAGTGCCTGCTTGATTACTTTCTACTTTGTTACGCCGTAACGTTACGTTGGATAATTTATTATTAAAGTAGCTAGCTCACAAAAAATGATATTTATGAGGTAAAATCTTAGGTATTGGTGTACTGGTGTTGTGTTTAGGGAAGAAACGCGAGAGTTTATGAAAATGGATGAATATTTCGTAATCCATCATGCGAAAAATCCGCACAAAGATTAGATATTTTAGTACATGTTATTGTACGATTTTAGATTAGCATTTTCTATGTTTGATACTACAGTATACATGCTGAAGCCAAAAATTACGAAAATACGCTGAATATTTGAGTCATATCATCACCATCATCATCTTCAGTCCGATTCCAGTAATTGCTGTGGAATCTCCTCTTTAGGAATATCAATTGTTCCTATAAAATCAATGTAAAGGTTAGATTTTAGCAAAGTGAGCAACAAATCAAGCTCAAACCTCGCCATCCTCAATACTATGTGGTGAAGCTTAACTTTTAAAGACGTTAGTGTCAATTTAATGTGAGACTCTCTAAAATATTTGTTCTTTGTCTACGAGAACAATGTATACTTTATGAAGTTTCTTTACTTCATTTGTGAAATCATTCAACGTCTCTATTTCATGTTTTGCCATTTTTATTTTTTACTACCTTATCAACGCCTAGACATGTTTCATTTGTCCTTCAATTTACTCATTCAAAATAGATATTTAAACAAGGCAGTCATTGTTTATTATTTCAGATAGTATTTCAGTTTCCGATACTTAGACATTGTTACAGAAATGTCCGAAACTTCAACCTAATATTAAACACTAGTTCTAACTAGCAAACAGCAGATTCCATGCGGATCCGTTCAGTCGTGTTTGCATGAAAACAACAAACATCCTTACATCCTCTAAAAACATTAAATTCTTAAAATTAGATGGATTTTTTTTTAAGGGGTAAAATCATCGAATGACTGCTCCCGCCTGGGTGAGGCGGAAGGGAGTGTCAGACTCTTACTGACTAAAAACCACCCCGTTCCTTCTCCTGCACGTCGAGCCGGAGCCCCGGTTACCCGTTAGGTTCTTCGCGACATGTAGGTTAGGATAGTGTGGTGTGTCAGTGTAAAAACTTACTTATTCGTTCTCAATAGTAAATTCCATTCTCCAAGTCTCATCTCTTCGTACTTCGGTCCCAGATGGTGTTGTTCCTCTAGCACGTAGAAGACAGGTCCAGGAACCGCTCTTGCTGCATCCCCCACTCCATCTGACCATCTGATCACCACAGACCTCTTTTTCTCTTTAGGCTCCTCAATTGTGGGTAATGCTGGGAGACCTGTTTTAGAAAAATAACACTTAGAATTCTCGTTTACTGCTCAACATAGGCCTCCCCGATGTCGTAAAAAATCTAATTAAAATAATTAAAATCAATCACTACAGAAGCTCTAAAGAAAATCTCAATCACTATAGAAACTCTAAAGAAAATCTCAATCACTATAGAAACTCTAAAGAAAATCGTATGTGCTTAAGGTCATCCCTTGTCATGTGAACCCAAAATATTCTATTTATAGAAAAATAATCCGACCTACTGTTGAGACGACAACGATAAAAGAGTACGACCTTACTCATGAATAGTAAAGCAAAAAATATTAATTTAGGGGTGGTCTCTGTTTTAGACTTAAAACGGTTTCATTTAAAACGGCTAAAAATAACTAACCTCTCCAAACTTGATTGACGTAACAAAGGGTTCTACTTACAACAATTTTAGTACAACTTGCTCCACCCCTAAAGTACTTTAAAAACTTGTTAAAGTATTTGATGTACCTAGTAGATATTTTGCAAATTTTTTGGTCGAGACTAAGCTATAAGTGTTTTAAGAGATATTACGATAATGAAATGACCATTTGTTAAGTAGAGAATTGAAACCAACTCATAAAAACATGAATCCAGTCAGCACCTGACTGACAAAAAAGCAACGCTAGCATGACCAAGCAAAATTCACCTGGTATAGTCAGAAGATCTGTAGGCTCGCTGCAAGTGGACCCACAGGAATGGCGGCAGCATCGTTGCGTACCATCGCATTGTGAGTCGCGTTGCATGCTTCCACACAAGCAGCCTCCCACTTCGGCGAGTCAGATATTGGACACGTCCCTGGTTTATTCTCGTTCAAACGGCATTGTGTTTTGCACTGCGAAAAGATTTTCTATTAAACCTCAAGTGATCTATTGTGAAACAAAAAGTTGCAATTTACAAAATTTGACAATTTCAAATGCAACTTGAATATCTGCATCGACTTTGGCAATGGTACATGACTAATCCCAATTCCAAGACAGATCGATATATTAGGCGGGTGTTAGTACCCAGTCTAATAACGACTTTCATAGATTACTTGCTGTGTATTCTTAAATTACTCCTCGACCAGACAGCATTGTTTGACAAGAAGGAGCATTTGTTCGGTTTTTTCTGCCCTGTCTGGAAGTATTATAATATTTGCTTGTAATGTAGACACAGGTCTCGCCATGTTGTGAATAGGGGCATTCATTTAGACAAGTTCTGTTACTTCAGACTCATTAGTAACTTTGGACCATTAGCGTGTACACAATAGTTACAAAATAACTATTCCTTTGAAGTGCAGTGATTCACGACTGGGATGTTAATTTCTATGGGTATGCAGATTTTTCACACCAGTATCTTATGTTGTTGAACTAAATTGGAAAGGTCTGGATCAGTCGTTAAATGGAATAGTTATGTTAGTATTTTGGGTTTATGTTTCATTTTATCTTACGTTTCGTGTACATTTTTAATAATTCAACGTATGAATGTAATCAAAACTTCTCGATCTCGAGCTTTATTTTTGCTTTTACGACATGTCGTAAACATACAAGAAGCGAATTAGAAATGCCTGGGCTTTTGCCCAGATGAAAAAATCTAGCTTAGGATCGAAGCTCGTTAACTCACGACGTATGTCGCGATCAAAATGCGATTGTCTTGTGTCACTACAACTCCTCGGACACAATTTTTTCTCGTGACACAATCCTGTATAATTTCTTTTTGAGGTTCTTGAATTAGCACAATGCGCCCTTTTAGGCTTGATCCTGTTGTGCACAGGTTACATAACTTATTCTGTAGCCGCAGAATTATTCTTGCTAACTACACGTTGCAATCTTGATTGTATTTCATTTTACGTTGTTTTACATTTTTTGTATTGTGTTTATGTCTGTTCTGAGAACTTGTTAAGTCGTGATCGTAGTGACAGCTATCTTGGTAAACATTTTTTATTTAGATCTAGCGTAAAGTGTTCAGTGTTCTGCGCGTAGCGTATTTTTTGTGGATCAAGTGAGCATGCAATCGAGTCAATAATTCTTTCATCACTGGGCTCATTGAACTTCGTTGGTGTATCTATGACATTATTGGGTACTCCATTCTTTGTTATTCTGATATAATTTGGGTTTCCCCTAATTTTTTCATGATCATTGCGTATTGCGGATTTTCTTATCTATTTCGATGATAAGTGGCTTTGGATAAGTGACAAATTAATTCTACAGTACAATACCAGTGAATAAACAATAATAGGAATCTGAAACGTAACTGCAAGATACCTATTTTTCAAGGGACTGTGCATTCAGATTCGATCGTCATTGACACATTCATCTTTAACGAGTACGTTTTCTCTATTAGGTTATTATAGAACAGGTAACATAATTCAAGATGCAAATGTATAAATTGGTCGGTCCCTATTATTACCATGAAACTTAAAACACAATAGGCCACACTGTATTCAGTTATAAATGAAGAGAATAAAATAATTGTTTTATAAATATATTTACTTACTATAGGTTTATCCTCTTTCTCTAAATCGATACACTTAAGATCACATCTGATCTTGTACAATGAATTGCCCTGCGACTTCGAGTACCTCCTCGATCTTGACAGGACCATTGGCATCAGAGACACTGCCATTAACATCACTAGCACTTTCGTGTACATCTTGATTGTTTTTAATTTTTCACTAGACATATATTCTTCTTTAATATACGTTTAACATCTGAAAGTATATGACTTTTTACTATCTTCACTTGTTATTACTATCTCAAATAGAAAAAGGTCTAGAGTTTGCGTGCTATGTTTTGCTTTTGTTTTTTATAGTCAAGGAAAAATGAAACGAGAAAGTTTGATTACAGGTATAAATCAAACAGTTGGGTCATTGTTTTCTAATATTGCGTCTATAAAATTTAATTTATTTTATAGGCTCATAAAAATCAATGATTGAATCAAATCAAGTATTCTTTCTGCCAAAATATTTCTTTGGAATGACTTCGCCCCGCCCTATTTTTGATTAGATCGTTATTATAATTTGACTTTTTCATTAGAATGGGTGTATTGTTTATGATATCTGACGTCAATCGAATATTACTATTGAATGATATCCTTTGAACTTTGAAAAAATTAACGTTTGCTGTACAATAACGATCTTTGTTTACAAGAAAATGTATCAAACTAAAATAAGTTTTAGGAGATAACAACACGCACATTCCAACAACTGATATGGTACAGACACTAATAGTATTTCTTCGTGTTCAATATAAGTTATTTATTCAAAACTATTGTATTAACAGTGTAAAACAAACGACTATTGTTCTTTATCGTAAGTAGAATTAACTATACACCGTATGTACCATTAAGAACCGTTTAAAACTCCGAAAGCACACCAAGAAACCACAATTAAACTTCAGCAAATGACATGAATGTTCCCAAGCAGACTCTTTTTATATCAAGATCCATCCCTACACTGGTAAATGATACAATAACAATGCACCAACTGTTTATTAACATAAAGTAAAAGTAAATCAATTGAACGAGAGTTCCCATCCAATTACCTACGCTAAAACAAAACAAAGCACTGCAGAATCGATATCCACCTCAACAAATCGATCATCTATACGAGAATCGATTAAATCCGTAACATTTCGAGTCCTTCCGAACTTGTGTCATCGACCTCAGAGGTTTTTGGAAAATACATTTGCAGTTCGCGAGTGTATCGTTTGAAATGCGCGGTAACACTGGCTGGCGTGCGCGCATACCCGGTCGATCCGTGCCTCGGCTTCATTAATACACATCGATGATGCTTTCCTGTCTGTACGCCGATGACGGAAGGCTGCTTTTACCGAGCCGGTTTCCTAATTAAAAAAATGTACACAGTCTTCCTGGAGTACGCGGCTTGCTATGCGATCGTCGTCATTAAGTCTACGATTGTTTCGTGAATTGTAAACAGTTACTGCTTAATTGCACGTGCATCTAATTGAATGTTTTGTTGAATAAAAATTGCACGCAACATTCAGTCTTAAATGATTAAATAGGTCTTATATTGGATAACTGTAGTTTCATGTTATTACTCACACAGAAGATCTTGAAGTCCAACTGTTTATGACTATTTTAAATTTGGAATGAAAAATTAATTACTCTAATTTCGTGTTACAGCAATGAAACGAGATGCTGAATTAAGTCGCGTTATAATTACATAGTTCGGACGTACACGTGTAGAAACGAGTTAATGTGGGTACAAAGTCTTGAAATAATTAATTAGGATCAATTTAGACGTATAAAACGCTGAGTATAATTCGTGTGTTCTCCTGGGCTGAGCCCATAATCTCGGGATTCTAAGAACACCGGTCTCGCAATTTCAACGAATCGAACCAAAACAATCGATTTAATTAGGCGTTCGTCTTTTAAAAAGGTAATAAAACAAAATGGCGAAGATAAATCGTTCACAAAGAAGCTGAGGAATCAACGACCGGTTGATTGCTCGGTGCGCATGCGCCGGATGCCCTTCGAGAGCTTAATTAGTGTTGCAGTATCTACAAGTGGCCAGTGTGGCCATAGTACTGAGATTAAAAATGTTCTCCAGATAGATGCTCAGAAATAGATAACACATAAATCATTGTGGAGATTTCTATTTCAGTGTTCGGAAGAAAGAACAAATAAAAACTTTGGAGTAAAATATATTCTATACACATCAACGTAAAGTTACTCAGCTTTCTGTGTCAAAACGTAACTCTTTGAACTTAACCTTTCTTATATTTAATTCTCAATAATCATTAGAAATCTAATTGCATTCATAATTATGTATCATACATTAAGATAAGATGTTCTAAGTATATAATTATAAATTTATTAGGCCCCATAGGGCGACATTCTAGAAGTATTATGATAACTACAACGTGCTAGATTATAATCTAGAATGTTATAGATACTATCTTCTTTGTGAGCTACATAAGTTTTATAAACTCAACTATCATTGCTTTACGTCTTGTGTAGATTCATTCAGTAGACATACTTATAAGTAATTATATAACTAGGCTATTGATGAGCAAGACATAAAGCTATTTGTAAAACATTTTCAAATAGCTCCTTGAGAAAATAACTCCGCATTTAATTCATGTAAACAAATATTGTTATGGGAACTAATATGCGAAACAATTACATACTAAACCCCACTTTTCAATTATTATAATGATTAATAATACTTATATTTTGATTAATTTCCTTATAGATCTAAGATTGTTTGTCACGTCACTGAGTCGCATCAAGTCATTGACTTATGCAAGTCACAGGTGTGTCATTCCATAAAATCGTTCCGTGGCGTTACTTGATATGAAAGTAAGTACAGATTCTGATTTCTATTCAGTGTAAAGGGGATGCAGTATTTAAAATAGATTCCAGAACAGACGGTTGATTTGAGAAAACTTTATTTGTATTATGTACCTGCAAACTTTAGCCTTGAAAATTTTCTCCGCAACTTTGTTACTTTTTTCTTACAGAAAACGTAAGAGCCTTCCTCAAACAATAACAAACCGTACAAAAAAAGAATTTGCGAAATCGGTATACAGCTATTTTCGGCCACTTTTGTGATCTTTGTGATAATCATGTAAAATCATAATAAATTACAACAGAACGAAGAAGAAAATAGCATAATAAGAACTCAAAAAGCATACAGAGGATATCCTAATAACGTGAATCGACTTACGAGCTAATTATCAAGATAAAAAATATGGACACTAAAACTAAAACGCACTTAAAATATGATTGGACGGAGTATTGTACTCGTATTTCATTCAGAACAAGCGCAAAGTAATTAAAATAATTACTGAAACGACTAACGTAACTGGCATCAAATGCTTAAGAACTTTAAAAAGATAAAGAATATTTTATTGCTAAAAGTGCAAATAGCTCTCACTGGCTCAATTTAAATGAGAAAAAACAATAAAATTCTGATATTTGTTTCATTATAACGATTCCCCATTTACGCAGTAAAGATAATGGATATTATGACCGGCTATAAACTGACGACAGATAATTTGAATGTCTTAAAAATCTATGTATTTTTTATTACACTTATAATGGCTCGTGGTTGGCTATAAAAAGCTGTGAAATTATTTTATTACACCAACGCACCGAGATGAGTTAAGCGTACAGTTCACCTAGCGCCTGATGGTAAAAAATACGCTAGACCATGTTCGTCTGCAACACTGCTGTAATGAGCTCGCACGTTGGATTTGACACTAACCCTTAAAGAAATGGAATCAAAATGAGAATTTGTCAGAATCACTAGCGACATTTTTACATTTTTCATTAGTATCACTCCGTTTTCATCTCCTTCTGGACATTCGGAATCCTGGTAGGTATCCCAACGGGCATTGGTTCGCCGACAGCTAAAATATCTTTAAGGCTATGTCGACTACTGTGGTAAAGGTAAATTTTAATTTGTAATACAGTCTCTTAAATGGTCGACGTAACGTTCATACAAAAAATGATCCGATTCTCGCGTAACATGCAGAACTGAAACCTAGTTTTCCAACAACAACCGTTTCTACTGCTATGGCCATTATGCACGAAAAAAAAACACTTAATGCATTGCGTAAGTAATTGCATAACTTTAAAGATTGGATTTACTGGTTCTATTCGGTTAGTAGTAAAATTATTTAGCGAAACATTAGTTCTTCTTTTGATATACAACCAACATCAAAAGATACAGGTTAAATCATAGTAGTGGCCACATACTAAAAGTGCTGTCGATTTTGGCAAGATAAATGTCATTTGATAAATTCAGACTCCATAGTGAAATAAATGCTATGCTCGGAGTCTCTTTGAGGGATCGAATCCGAAACGAAGTGATCCGACAGATAACTAAAGTTATCGAAATGTCCCAAAGAATTAGTAAGCTGAAGTGGCAGTGGGCCGGTCACATTTGTCAAAGAACCGATAACCGTAGTGTATGGTGCCCTCCAGCTAGGTAGAGTGACGACATCCGCAGGGTGGCTGGCAGTAGTTTGATAAGAAGAGCTGAAGACCGAGCTCAGTGGCGTGCCATTGGGGTGACCTATGTCCAGCAGTGAACTAATATTGGCTGATGAAGATGATCATGAAATAAAGACAAAGTGGCCGACGACCGCCAGCGCATCACAAGGTATCAAGTGCTGTCCCCGAGTCGAGCCAAAATTATTAAAAAACAGAAATCCTTTATCATCAATACACTAGAGTACCAAGCTAGGCAATCCATATTATCAAAATTAATGATATACCTACCTATAGTACCGAAAGTCTATTTCGGTGTTTCTAGGTTACCGGTATCATGTAGGCTGTATAGATAGATCAATTTCATCTCATTCATGAATTCCTTACATTTTGTAGGCACTAATAATTCTATTAAAAGCCAGCTATGAACTTAAACATCACATAATTACGGGAAAAGCAACATTAATCACAATCTCATAAGCCTGAAGCACTTTAATTTAAACTGTTTGTAATCCGTGACCACGAAATAATAAAGAGCTTGTTTGAAAATGTAAATGTCTACGAAACTTTCATTTATTGTTCTACATACAATTTCAGTTCTTTGTACCAGAAAGTTCTGAATTAAATGTTATTTTATTTAAAGTCTGTTGATACAAGAGATAGTTGTACATCTGTGAACTTTACTCGTCCAGAACGGAGAGGCGGACACAATTGTTCGATATAAA